GCCTCACTAGGGCATTGTAGAGGGGAAGGAGAACCTCTCTCGTCCTGCTGGCCACCCTCTTCTTGATGAACCCCAGGATCCCATTGGCGTTCTTGGCAGCCAGGGCACGCTGCTGGCTCGTGGTCAACTTGTCATCCACCAGCACTCCCAGGTCCCTCTCCACAGAGCTGCTCTCCACTTTTATATACATATATAAATATATATGCACTTACACATGTCTGTGTGTGTGTTTGCAGGTACATACGCCTTTATACTGCTCCCTTCCATAGCTTAGAGATTTAGGCAGATAACGAGCTTAGTTAGAGTTTCACCAGTCACCTGCTCACTATGGGGACACCTGCCCCAGCCTGTGGTCAGAGCAGTGATGCTGCCACCGCATTGCTCCAGTCTGCATTTGTCACCTCCGAAGGGCTACTGCGAAGCTCTCGCCTCTTCACATTTTCCACCTCGTCTCACAAGGTGTGAGAATGCTTCTCCGAATCATTGGCTCCTGTGTTTTCTTACTCCTCGCTCTTGCTGACCTGGAAGTAACCTTCTATTGCAACGCAGCCTCTCAGCTCCTGTTGCTAATAGGAGAAAAAAGGAGAAATTCCCTCACTGCGAAGAAAAATACCTGCGATTCCTCCCCCAAAATGGGGGAGGAGGGGGCCGAAGGCTGTTCGTGATGGACAGAGGGGCTACAACAGGTGAAAAACCTCGGTGGTGGTGGCAGGAAGCCAGGCAGCGATGCTCACATTTTAGAGTTGAAAATGGGAACCGGGATTCTGGAGGAAAGGACAGCTCGGCCCCGGAGATGGCAGCTCCCGCTCCGGAGTCGCGTTCCTTCTGCTCCCTTCCCTGCGGTGAGCCGGCGACGGGTACGTGTGTCCTGCCCAGCCCACCAGCCTGCTTCGGTGTGGAGCCCGTGCCGAAGCTCTGCTGCTTCAGTGCTTGAAGGCGACCGTGGTGTCTCACAGCCCCTGGACAAAGACCTTCATGTCCTACCTAGACCTAGAACAGCGTGCATTAGGAGCTCGACCTTCTCCTTATTTTGAGAGAATTTCAGGTTCAACCTCGCGGGGCAAGTCCTGCAAAGGAAGATGGGTGTCACAGCAGGTCAGCCGCATCAGCACGTGTTCCCTTCATGAGAGAAGAA